AAAATATTTTAGTACTTAAACATTAAACACCTCAGGATATGGTATAAAGCAATATTTTATACATAAAAATCTCCTAAAATTTCAGCATGCAAATATCTAACAAATAACTAAATTAATTAATTTGTATATTAATTTTTATTAAACTCAACTCAACTTCAAACAATTTAAAAATTTTAAAAATCATCAAATAAATTTTATTTTTGCTACAAAATACAATATAAACTCAATGTGGTTATACTATAACGAAAATGTATGTAAATTCTTTTTTTAATAGCTAGAAGTTATTAATACTACTTTAAAATTTCACTATACAAACTTCTTAATTAGCACTCACTCGAAACTTTGAGATATATTTACTATTATAGAAAATCTTTCGATTATAGTGCAGCAGATATTAGTTGTGAAAAATGCAGCAAATAAAATTAACAATAATTGTCTCATTAAAAAAAATATATTTAAATTAAATATTAAGCAAAATGCAAATAAAATATTAAGTTTTTTATGTCGTTGTAGCAAAATTTTGCGATTTGTTAAATATAAAATAAATATACTACAATAAAAATATATCAAAATTATTACAAAATTTAAATAATATTTAATAAAATATTACAAAATTCTATCAGTCATTTATAGTTATATAAATATGATATTTTTCATTATATACATACATACCTATAGGCATATTTCATTAAAAATGTTACAAAATTTATAAAATATACTCATAATATTATATAATGTGAATTATACGAATATTTGAAAGTTTAGTGAAATATAATTGTTTTACAAAATTATATATATTTTAAATATTCATATAATAAAATGTTTAATAATTTTTATTGTGTGATTTAAGTGCATTTTTTATTTAAACAATAACATTCTTTAATTTTAGTTAAATAAATAGAAAAATAAATATTAATATATATAGGATCTTATTCATTCAGAGAAACATTTGATGAAGAATGATAGACCTTCTTTTAAAACTTCATTAATAACATCACTAACTTAACTTATAATTTAAAGCGCCTGAAGCACCATAGCTTTTTGATGCTTCCGAAAAGTGCATATTAATTGATGTATAGAATTTATACCTCTTGAGGACTGTTCTACCCGTGCTTTTCAGTACGAGGCACTCACAGCATGATAGACCCCCATCTGCAAAGCAAAAACAAAATTCGCTTAAACAAACTCAGTTTCCTGAAAATATTTGTTAAGTATTTTTTTAAGCCACTCGCATTACAATGATGCCAAATCTAAACACTGATCTATTGTGAATGATTTTTGAAATAAAATAGAAAACTACATTTAGCTGTTTATTACTTACTACAATCGCGAGTATTAATGATTAAATTTAAATATCTTAAAAAAGTAATTTTTTAATAAAATTTATGAATATGACTGGCAGGTTAGTAATTATAAAGAAGTTAACTATTTATAAAGGAATTTTTAATTTTTGTGTTCATTAAAAAAAGCAATGCATAAATATATATAAAACACAATCATCAAAATAACAATCCTCAGGTCCACTTCTGGACTCAGGAAGATATGCTGATTTAAGGTCCGTCATCAACTAAAAGACAAACAAATGATATGATTTCTTAGCCTAGTTAAAGCCTAGTGTGGGGTAGAGGTAAGCCCCGCAGCCATTATAGAGTAAAAGTGCGCAATAGCACTAACTCAAGAAGAAGAATCAAGAATCAAAATAAAAGAAAAAGTTTTAATACAATTGGAAGAAAATTAAAACGTTGTTAAATACTGCTCATTTAGCATTAACTAGTGATGTTACAAGTTTGAAAATTATATAAAGGAATTTATTCATGCCTATCTCATTATGCATATTTTTATAATGAACTTTTTTAAAATTCTACAAATTATTCTTAAGCACCAAAAGTTGTTCCATTGCAACATTTATGTCAAAAGAATACACCAATATTTATATCCAAACGAAAACTAAAACATTTTAAGAAGATGAGCTGTCTAAGCTCAAATATTTTAGAGTAGATCAAACATTTTCGAATATTTGATAACATTGGATACAAACGAATTCGACAATTTTTTTGATAATGCTCAAATCTGTCAAAATTAATACACTTTACTATGAAAGTTTACAAATTAATGCCTAACGACATAAAAAATAAACATTTTTCAAAAATAATCATTATCAAAGGGGAATCTTTTTCAACTTCGAACTTCATATCCGGGTAAGAGGAAGTTATAACCGTATTTTTTTTTCAGAATAGTAAAAAATACTCGCAACTTACGAAAGAAAACATGTGCAGTAACAACATTAGGGGTATTCAGGCAACTGATTAGTTGCTTAGTTGATTCAAAAACTTCATATAAAAAAAATTTAGCATTTTGATGTTAATCAGTTGCTTGAACGACCCAAAATGCGTAATCTGATTAGTTTGTTGTGTGTAAATGCCTTGGCAGCATTTGCATCAACAGCAAAAGCGAAACATACGTTAACAGTGAAAATTGTTTACACACAATTCAAACAGCTGAGAGAGATAGCTAACAAATTTCTATACAAAAGTTCGTTTTAAGTTATTATTACGACACTTGGGACTGGCAGCACTATTAATCAAATTTGTACTAATCTGAGAATCACCGAAATAGTTGATTCCCTGCTTAGTTTCATTTTTGTGTGCAAATTTTTGTTGTAATCAACTACTAAGCAACTAATCAGTTGCCTGAATACCCCTATTGTTCTTAATATCTTCAGAATTAGGTTTACTTGCAAAAATTTTTGAGTTTTAAGTTTTAGTGCTGCCAAATTCAAAAATCAGTCTATGGTGAATGTTCACTGGAATTTTATTGCAAAATTCCAATCATCCGTTAAAATCAAATAAGCATTTCATTTAGTTATAAATTATAATACATTAATAAATTAGTTAATTTAAATATATAAGGCAATAATACTAACAATTGCACTTCTTATATTCATTTTGTTTTCTTTTATTTAAATAACACAAAAAAACAACAATATGTCAAAAATAAGCATTAATATATTTTAAAAATTATGCCAATTGGTTTTATTCAGCCTTAAAGTTGTTTTTTTTAGAAATTTGCAAAAAAAAAACATTATTATTATATTATATATTATTATATTATTATATATTATTATATTATTATATTATATTATATATCTAATATAATTGTTTGAAGTAATTGTTAATTTATTGCTTTCAAAAATTGCGATGATTAATCGCAACTAACTTTGCTATTGTTTACATTTTGACAAAACAGCTGTTATGTATCTGTTGAGATAATGTTATATGTAAAGAATCAATAATTAGTTTAATACACAATCAAGCTGCAAAAAAAAACAGAAATGGATGTAAACAATGAAAAGTCATTAATAAGTAAAGAAACTTTATATGCAGGCGACACTTATATACCATTAAAGTCAGGAACTCGAGTAAAATTTCATTTTCAAACAAGAAAACTCAATGATGGCAAATTATTGGACGATAGCAAGAAAATGGCTATGCCCATGGAATTGGTTCTGGGCAAAAAGTTCAAGCTTGAAGTCTGGGAAGCTATAGTCCAAAAAATGGCCTTACATGAAATTGCTAAATTTAAAGTAGACAAATCGGTAATTAATTATTAATTTTTTTTCTTTTTTTTTTATAAAATAAAAAAATTTAACTAACACTCATCACTATTTGCACGTCTTTAGCTCGTAGCGCAATATCCTTTTATATCAAAAACACTACGTGAAGTGGGAAAAAAACCTGAGGAACGACGACATTGTTGTGGTATGACTATGCAAAATGAAGGCACTGGTCACAAAGATTTAGATGTTTTATTCATGCAACCAAGTGATTTAGAATTTACCATTGAGCTTATATCGATTGAATTGCCAGAACAATATGAAAAAGAACGTTGGCAAATGTCTGATGCAGAAAAAATAAAAGCAGCAAATACTCTACATGAAAAAGGAAACTCA